TCATTTACTGGCCTCTATCCTGGTGCAACATATGAGATTTATCTTGAGTATAACCTGGACTCCACAGTGCTTCCTCAGTGTAGCATCAAAATACCCATCAGTAAGTACAATTCTTTCTTTGACATATTTTCTACAAAAAAAAGAGGTGAACTCTAAATTATGATAATAAAAATGTTTTTATGGCCCAAATATTAAGTTTAAAGAAGTATTTGACATATATTATATATATAAAACTTAATTTGAAAGTGTTTTGATTTAGCAGAGCTATGAATGCATTTGTTTCAGACCCTTGTGCATAACATGCAGCTGAATATATTCAGTTGTTTTGATAAATTTATTAATAACTATTTGTACTTTATATTTTGATAAGCCTTATGATTCTTTCATCCTCAGTTCCTCCTTCAGTAACTGCTGACTGTAGCTACTGGGCCTCTGGTTATGGTGCTAGGATTAACGTGAAACCACTCGATGGTGTGCTGACGGCTGTTGTAGTTACAATAAATAAAGAGATTTTAACAATAAATGAAACAGTTATTAAAACTGGACTCATTGTAAAGGGACTTCAACCCGCCAAAAGATATGAAGTCTCTTTGGTTTCACAGCTGGAGGCAGAAAATTTGATCAGACGATCTGAACCATCAGTTTTTTTCTGTTCGACTGATAACAGAGGTGAGCTAAAATATTCCAGAACTATTTTTTTTTTATGTTTTACTCTATGAAGAAATTATTTAGCTGAGCTAATGGATTGATCCTTTCAGGAGTCATTGCAGGATCATTGGTTGGTGTGCTGCTATTGGTTGTTCTGATCTGTTTGATTGTATTTATCGTCCGTAAAAAAACAGATTTGATCCGGTAGGTGATTCCTCTTTCATCGAATTACAATGGAATTTTGCTATTAAAATTCAACAGCAGTGGTGATTGAATCAACTAAGCACCATTTTTTATTTTAATAGAAGAAAGAAATCCTTTCTTTCTAGATCCCAAAGGTCAGAGTCAAAGTGAGTCTGAAGTTTTTTTATCTCCAAATAAACTGTCAGTTAATGTAAATGAAAAACTAAAATAATGTACATCTCTGTCTTGAACTATTTATCAGTTCTGAATACTGTATCTTTACTGTTTTGGTCCAGAATAATTTCTGTAGTGGAATTCCCAAAACACTTCTATCATCTTGGATTGGATGAAAACAGAGGTTTCAGTCAGGAATATGAGGTGCAGAAAAATAACTAACTTAAATCTTTTCTTCTTGTACATATCTTTATGTAGGTTATAATCGAACAATGTAGATATTTGAGTTATAGATTCTTTTATTGTGTGTCATATTTCCCATTCATTCAGGGCCTTGCGTCTGTTGGTACAAAGCAGACATGTAAGGCAGCTGTTCTACCAGAGAACAAAGAGAAGAACAGTTTTAACATCCTGCCCTGTAAGTGCAATCTTATTCCTGACCCGCGTTTTACTGAAAACATGAGCTACAGATGTTTTTAGGATATTTTTACCTTTCTATCTGCATTGAAAGCTTCTCTCTATTTACAATAGATGACTGGTGTCGGGTGAAGCTTAACACATCAACACCCAATGAGACCTCAGACTATATCAATGCCAGTTACATACCAGTAAGTGTCCACTTGCACAGAGCAGGAGCTGTTTTTCTCCACAACTTAAAGTAGCCAAGAGATGTTCATTGTTTAAAAATATTTCAATTCTCACTCTATTTAATTAAGTTTAACACATACTTATAAATCATACGGACAATAAATACACAGAAAATTTACCTAATAATAGTTCATGTTTCTTAGGTTCAGATTCAGGATTTTGGTTGAGTTTCTCTCTTTATGTCTAGATATTATATCTAGTTCCTTTTCTTGTTTTATTTTTGCTCATACTTAACCTCATTTCTTGGGAACAAATGTATTATTTGGATAAATACATTTTTTATGAAATATTACAGATGTCCACTGAAATAGCAATGAAAGAAAGCTTTACATTTGGGTCTTTATTGGAGGATTGCAAAAATCTGGCTGCCTTAAGGGAGATTTAACAATAACATTTTTTTAAATATGGAAAGTTCCTCCATTTGTTGTTTAGATATTTTTCCCCTTATTTTTCTATCTCTTCAAACTAACAAAAATTACTAGAATTTATATATTAACATATTGAGAAGAAAGCCTTGTCTGTATTTAAATAAGTTGAATAGATGTTACTGGAGCAAGAGAAGGAAACTGTTTTTTCACAAAATCAACATCTCTCTTGTCTCTGTAGCTTCAATTTCTTGCTCTTGCTTTATCTACCTCCTTCTTCAATGAGCTCCCTTCCTCCTTCATCTCCAGACCACCACCAGTGTCCAGGCCCTGGGGGGGGAAGACATCTCTATTCTCATAATTCTGCCCATTTTATCATTGTCAGCAACACTCAGCTCTGTTTCTTCTCTAATTGCCTCCTAACTAAACTCTCTAATTGCCGCTTTGTGAGTCTCTCCAGGTTGAAATTGCTCTTAAGTTTAGATTGAGTTAAACACCTGCAACATGAAGTGACAAAAAGGTATTTATCTTGTTCCTGAACTACATATAACCTGAGATGGAGCCTTATATGGAGCCTTTTTCTTTAGGGCTACAGCAGCAAAAGAGAGTACATTGCCACTCAGGGTCCTCTGCCCTCCACAGTCAGGGACTTCTGGAGGATGGTTTGGGAACAAAGAGTGAAGTGTATCGTCATGGTTACCAACTGCATTGAAGGAGGACGGGTAGGTTTTTAAGTTATTTCATTGGCAGATTTTTTAAAAAGTATTAACAAACCTGTATTTTTAAATTGTCATCAGAAGGAACAATAAAGTAAAGGAAAGTACTGGATATTTTTTAAGAAAATAACTTAGCAGTTAGTTACCCATCTGTTGAAGCACAACATGGATAAAACCAGATGCTTTGTGTTTTTTTTTTTTTCACAGACCAAATGTGAGCGATACTGGCCTGAACGGACCAAGTGGCTTCATTATGGGGATGTGTTTGTCACTGGAGTGTCTGAGCTGAAGCAACCTAAGTGGACTCAAAGGGAGTTCAGACTGAAGCATGTACATAACATCTCCTATATTTCAAAATAAAACAATCATTAATCTGTCCATACACAACTAGCCAATCTGTCAATCATTTTAGCTCACCTTTTTTCTTTATAGGTATTAAAGGCATGAAGCCCTTTTATGAGGCCAAGACAAGCTAACCTAGTAATTTGTACCTTGAAGTACTTTGAAAACAGCAGGCACTGAAAAACAAAGATTGAATTGATGAAATAAATTAAAACATTACACTTAGAAGCAAGTATGATCATAACTTATAGTAGAAACATTAAGTAGAAATATATTACAACAAAACAGAATTTACAAGAACTACTGTACTTTGTGAAAGGTCCTATTGAACTTTTCAACTTTTGCCACAATTCAGGCTTAAAACATACCACACCTTTTGCTGTAATTACAGTTGCAAGCTGTTTGGAGTATGTCTATCAGCTTTGCACATCAAGAGACTAAAATTTTGCCCATTCTTCCAGCAAATCAGCTTGAGCTTAGTGCAGTTTGATGGAGAGTGTTTTCAGCAGTTTTCAGTTCTTTTCATAGAATCTCTATTGGATTTAGGTCTGGACTTTGGCTTGGCCATTTTAACACCTGAATATGTTTATTTGTGAACCATTCCATTGTAGATCTTGCTTTATGTTTTGGATCATTGTTTTGTTGGATGATAAATCTACGTCCCAGTCTCAGGTTTTTTTTTGCAGACTCCAACATGTTTT